CAATGCGTGCATGACACCTATGCCCCTCCCCCCGCACATTCATGTGACACCCCCTCCCCCCCTCCCCCCGCACATTCATGTGACACCCCCTCCCACGCTCCCCCCGCAGACGCCCCCATGTCCCATTTTGAGCCTACTAGTTCTCCTGCAGCTTCCTGGGACCAAAAGCGGGCCATAGGGAGGAACTCTACACTCCCCACGTGTGCGCACTCCCCCCTGCCCCCTCACATGTGCGCGCTCCCTGCGCATGTGTGCACATTTTCCTCATTTGCCCACGCATGTACAACAGAGACCCAAAAATCATCTGGCCGGCAGGAGACACACACACATGCACAATGGAGCTGAGCTGGGGCGACAGCTCGCATGCCCTCAGAGAGGGCTCTGCGTGCCACCTGTGGCATGCCTGTCATATGTTTGCCATCATGGGTGTAGGTAGTCCTTGATTTAACAACCATAATTGAGCCCAACATTTCTGTTGCTAAGCAAGACAATTGTTAAGGGAATGTTGTCCCATTTTACAACAGTTCTTGATACAGTCATTCAGTTAATCTCTGTGGCTGCTAAATTAGTATCATGGTTGTTAAGTGAATCTGGCCTCCTCATTGACTTTGCTTGTCAGGTTGCAAAAGTTAATCACATGAGTCAGGGACATTGCAGTTATCATAAATATGAATCTGTTGCCGAGCATCTGAATTTTGATCACATCACCATGGATGCTGCCACGGCCATGTTAAAAATGATCATAAATCAATCTTTTCAGTGGTGTGGTAACTTTGAACATCCACCAAATGAATGGTTTTAAGTTGAAGACTACCTGTATTAGGTTCTTGTTGTAGTAGGCAGTATTTGGTTTCTGCCAGATATAACAGCATTAATCTGTGACTCAAAAGATATACTTTTAAAACAAATCATGTAGTCTGACAGCTGTCAAAAGGCTCTTTGGCAATTTACTTAGTGAAATTTCTTAGTGAACAGTGATTTCCACCCTGATAATCTCCTATTAATCCCATTTTTACCTATAATTTTTTTTGGTGGTAGAATTACAGATTTTAGTCAAGGCAACAAAGACAAGAAAATTTCTGGAGGTTTTGGTTTTTTTTTAATGACTTCCGGGATGACTTTATGCTGTGACCTTAGAGTAATTTGGACAAAACCGTCTATGAAGATTTATTATTCTTTCAAATTTTCTTCATCCCAGGACTGTGTCTCTGACAATAGATCAGCTGAGTCCCAAAACTTATCCTGCATTGTAGGCAATACAATGCCTTTTTTAAAACAGAAAACTCCTAAAATTTCTTTGAGTGAGGCCTCTACAAATGTTATGGTGGGAACTTCACTTATTTATGAGAACTTATTTGTTCACTAAAGCTCCTGTATATGTCAGCAGCACCCACAGCAATATCTCAAAACACTTTTGCATATGCAAACATTCAGAAAATAAAAAGGAGGCAAATACTTTTTAAAAATTACTAATTGTCCACATGCAAAATCAAGAGAGGAATAAAACAGGATTAAACAAACATTCTTAAAAAATAATATTCTGAATAAGACACCCTTGTTACAATATACAAACCTTTTTAAATTTTTTAAAGTTGCTCAGATGTCCATAGTCTGAATTTGCTTGAGGACTGATTTTCCTTGGTTGAGTAACAACCAATGATCTAAATTCCATTAGCAAAAGTTTATTAGGGAGATAGCTTGAAACATCTCCACATTTACCTGGATTCTTATTTAGGGAGAGAAAGGAAGAACAATTAGTAGAGGTACTCTAATCAAACTTCTCTATCATTAATGAAATTACCAGAAATACTGTATGCCCTCCCATTCTGGGGTTTATATCCCAAATCAATATTTCCCCAAATTTTGTAATGAAACCCATTTTATCATGAAAAATTCAAACAATGTGAACTTATATAAGAATCATGTGCTATGAAAACTTCCTAATTAACTAATTCATCAAATATAAACAGGTTTTTTTCCTTTAAAGAAAATCAGCATTGTGTGACAAAGTCACTCTGACAATTCTTGATCTTTTGAACAATTGGGACATTAAAATATTACATATTTTAGATGTAAAAAGGGAAGCAACCATCAATGTTGGTACAAATTAGGGAGTCTTTCAGATTTGGGAATCAGGCTCTTGATTAGTCACCTCTGATCTATTAGTCTCAACTTTTTCTTTCTAATAGACATTTTTTTTAAAAATCTCCCAACAGTTCCTATGAAAAATAAAATAAAATGGATCTTCTTTTATACTCCAAATTCTCAAATGGAATAATTACTGTTTGATAGCCTGACAAATAGCAGCAAGAGCCAAAAAAGGAGAATATTTATAGCTAAGGTTTGAAATGAAGAGTTTTTGGTGGTCTCTGAGCTTGGTTTTCTTTTTCTTGCAGATGTTTCAATACCCAAACTAGGAAACATCATCAATGCTAGTAATTAATAGCATGAAAGAGTCAAAGAGGCAGAAACCACATGACATATTTTCTTCATGCTACTGTCAATAATGTTATGGGTAAGAAACAGTGGTGGGATTCAGCCAGTTCGCACCTATTCGGGAGAACCGGTTCTTAACTTTCTAAGAGGCTCAGAGAACCGGTTGTTGGAAGAAATCTTCTTTTGTTTTTTTCCGCTTTACAGGGCTAATACTGTAGGAAGGCAGGAATGAAAGATTCTGGTGTTTCTAGCTTAATCTTTATTGCCCTGCTTATAGAAACTGCCT